AGTTTGGCTCGCATTCCCGTGAACTTTGCGCTTCTTGCCTGTAGCATCTTTAGTAAGTAGTCCAGATAATGTATAAACGGATCCTAGTCTTACACTCCCAGCATGCCCGGCGTAGACTTCTCGAAGGCCGTTTCTTAGAAGTGTTACTCGCGTTACTCAATGATTCCATGATAGTCTTGGCGACAACAAACAATGAAGATGGTATGATTTACGGAGATCTGGTATTCCTGTCACAGGCCTATACCTGATAGGGGCGGCCATGTTACTTTCATAGCGGGGTGAAGGTGTTGCGATGGCAATGCTGATGTGGAGCTGACCTGTCGGACCGCCGGCCGGGTTTCGTCCGCAACGGATGCCGAGAATTCCTCTACTTTAGTGATCATACAGCTCCGGCGCTTGGTAACGGCAAGGGAGGCTCGCCCGAGGATATGGCCACCTTAATAAGCGTATCTCTGAACGGGTACGGTAGAATATACTCGTGTTTGATGCTTTTAGTGTGCTCTTATCCGCAGTCCTCGATTTCATAGGTACTTTGGTGTTGAGAAGTTCGCAATTTTGGATTATCGACATGTCGGCTCCAGGGATGCTCCGACGGATGATTGCACAACGCGACCAGTGCTTATGCGGCCTATCTCCGCCGTGTTCGAACGCACTTAAGAAAGCCACGCGCGTTGTTGACAAAGTCTGGAAAACTTGCCTCTCGGATACGGATATCCTATTACCAACATGTCGCTCAAGATCGTAATTTCTGGTGTCACTGGTCGCATTGGCGCACATGTGCTGCACCATGCGCTACAAAACCCGCTCGTATCGAGGGTCATCGCAATATCACGGCGGCCCCCACCCGGGACAGAAATGCACGCTAAGCTGGAGGTAGTGTTGCTTGAGGACTTTACAAAATACCCCGACGATGTGCTTGCGAAACTATCCGGGGCAGACGGATGCATCTGGTACCGAGGCACCTGCGTCATACTCCCCAACAACTGCTGACGTTCAAGGTGTATGACAACAACGGCTGGTGATCCCATGTTAGAGTTAGAGTATCCCAGGGCGTTTGCTGAGGCGTTTGCATCGACCATGCCTGTCGACTCAAAGCGCTTTCGGTATTTGCACTTGTCAGGCGGTATGGTGGAACGCGATCAGGAGAAGTCATTATGGATGAAAGGCTCGATGCGCAAGATCAAGGTAGGCGATTATTGTTCTTTTGTGATACCATGTGCGCAAATTGCAGTTAGAAAGATCCGGGGCAAGCTGCCAAACGTACTGACTCTGCATAGGGCCGAGGAGAAGTTCAAATGCTTGAATTCGCCAAGATGAATGAAAGCTGGAGAACGGTCATAGCTCGGCCAGGCATGGTGGTACAAAGAGGTAGTATTGTTGGTGAGGCTTCCATGATGATGGCTGGCTCTTCTGGCTCCTTCATCCGATTTGATGAGCTTGCGCTTGCACTCGTGGATGCGGTCGTACATGGCAGTGAGGAGCTGTTGCTACCTTCTATGCTCGTACAACGGGGCCAACGATTGGCAAGGGAGGCCACCGAGTGACCTGTTCAGTCAGAAACGAGGACGGTTACGGAGGTGGAGATATGTTGGATTCCATTTGATCCATGAATTGGAAGCGAAGGCCGGCGCCAAACTACCGCTTAATCTTCTACCCGCAGGATGTCTCCGCATCTGATCACTGTCAATACCGGGAAGGTTCTGCGTGTGCGCGTGACGATCGAGATCATCTATGTTCAACCGCTATCTGCTGGTATTCCCAAACTCCGACGCAACGTAACGTAGAGTGAGACCTTTCAGGCGTACATATCATCGTAGTCTTCTTCGTCGTCATCCGCAGGCGGTGGCGGCGGTTGTTTCTTCTTCAACAGTTCTTTGCGGTCAAGAGGGCATGTGGAGTTCAGCTTGAGCCAAGGTCCTATGCAGTCCAGGTCGAAGCGATGATCGTCGTGACAGGGCAGCTGGACTACGAGTGGGTACTTGTCTATGCAGATGCCATCAGCCAAGTCCTCAAGCTCACCATTGGCTCTTTGGGACGTGCGACGTACCTTCAAGGAATGGGTTCACGCAGATTGGGCAGGTGTCAGAAGGCTTCAGCGCTTTCTTCGGCACCCGCTCCAATTCATCCAGGAAGCTGTTTGGCACCCCCTTCAGTTCTGTGGGCGGATCGTCGGCATTCTCGCGGAGCATCTCGATCATACTCGCTAACAGATCCCCGTGTTCGTTGCTCTCGTCCGCCGGTCGTCCGCGCATGGTCTCGAAAGCATTGGCAAGCAAGCGGAAGGCCGCCGCCATGTTTTCGGGCTGCGGTAAAGCATTGGCATTTGTGTGCGCGCTGGGATCCGACGTGTCCACGAGTTCAAGCTGCGAGAAGAAGGTCGAGAGGTCTGGTCGGCGCGAGGGTTGCTGTGACTTGTCGTCTTCGGTGGAGATGTTGTGTTCGACTGTCTGGATTAGCTGTTGCGTTGCGCACACAGTCGCTCCTGCCTACCTTCGTAGCCCGACATGTTGGCGGTATTCCAGATGTCGCAAGTCCGGATTAGGGTTTGTGGTTTGGGCGGATGTCCTTGCCAGCTGAAATTATGAAGCTACGCGGAGTAGACGCGTCACAGCAGCAGCCTGAGACCCTGCAGTCTGGAAGGTGCGACCCCTCAGTTGTGGCGCAGGTGGCGCTCATCAGCCACACCATGACCCACACTGCATGACAATTCCACACTCCGCTTGTCCATCCCAGTTCTGCTCGCCATCGGCTTTCACTTTGGCCGCCGTCATTCTGCGACTGTCACATCGACGTGTGGCGCAGCCTAAGCCGCCACCCTCATTGGCGCTCGCACAGTCCGAAGACAAGCTAACACTAGGGGAAGCTTGTCCATGTGGTGTGCCATTCTTGCGACACGCGACACTGACGCGTTCGTTTGTAGCAATTAGTGAGGCCGCGTCTGTCGTTCAAGCTTAATCTGCAGTGTGGAGGAGTTCCCTGTCAGCGCTGTCCCCAGTCTAGCGACGCTATAGTCACCTTGCACCACCTGCGTGAGGTTGGGCGCTGCATGCATATCTTGTCGATATCTGGGGAAACAAGCAACTGATGCCCAGGCACAGATCTCGGCAAAGATGCGACTCCATTGGAAACCGCTGGCGTCCACTCGAAGCAAATAATTGGGGCCTTGTGGAGCCGGTGATCCAGATCATGCACAGCCTCCTAGTGTCCGCAACCAAGTCGTCACGCACACTTTTCCCTGACAGACAACACAACATGCCGTAAAGGGGCGCAGCCATCGCAGCGGCAACTGATAGAGTCAGATACAAGAGGCAAAGCAGCCTCTGTGACACACTCGAGGTCTGAAGCTTCACATTGCCAGTAGGAGTCTTACAGTGCACAACACTCACCGCTTGGACCATCGCCGCCGACAACTACCACTTCACTACTTCAGCCTACATCTAAATTTCCATCTCCGCTCAATGTCGCTGCTCGTCATGTCAACAGATCCACCTTCTACTTTTGAGCGATTATCGCCCTCCTGGATACGCCGTCCCATGTCTCGAAGATCGACATCACCGCAAAAAGAGTCGCGGCCTACAACATCAAACGGCCTGCTTGCACCAGAACCAGCATCGACATTCAGCAATAGCGATGGCACACGATCACCACGCTCAAGCTCATCTAGCCGCCGCGGATCAATAATAGAGTTTGTCACCAGGTTCCGCTCTTCGTCCAACGCCAGTATCGCAAGCAACAAGTCGCAAGACCCAACAGACTTCAGTGAAATCGAAAACTGGTTCTACGGATTCCGAAGATACAACCAACTAGTCAGCACCACCACATCACCAAACAAAGCCGACCAACCGCAAGACCTTTCGAAATCTTTCAAGAAGCTAACGAAGAAGTGCGGGGGCCAATTTCTGCACGGGCTACCAGAAGCCGTCTTTGACTTCTCACTCCTCTGGTGTCCCGCAGGCCACCTGACCAGGAAAGACAGCAACGAACCATCCTGGAGCTGGACTGCGTACGACGGCCCCGTAAACTTCCCTTTCGATCCCACAACCTGCCCCGATGTGTACAAACTGCCACGCAGCGAGGGCGAATGGTTCCAATCCGAGATCTTACACTTCCATGTCGGTCCTGAGTCGGCGCAATACACAGTCCGGCGGGAAAAAGAAAACTCCCTGCGTATCAAATACCCGCCTTATTTCCACGCGCCGCGCGGCTCAGACCACACCAACGAGTCCAATACCCTGCGCTTTACGGCAGCGACTATTAGTGCGGATGCGTTCACCGCAGAGCCCAACACATATGAAGGCAACGAAACCCCCTCCTCCCAGCTTATCAACTCAGACGGCAAAACTTGCGGCGCCATCATGGACTACGAATCTGAACTCTCGAAGCCTTCTTCCACCGGTCCTTTCGAGTTCGTGCTGCTGTCCCGGAACCTGTGGCGCGAACCGAATCCCGATAATAGCAAGCCGGGGTCGAATACTATGCATCCGACTGGCACGCCCATCTGGAATGGACAGCGTTTTATATGGGATGAGAGAGTTGTTGATCATGATGAGTGCTTTGAGATGGGGCCGTGGAAGATGCTGAATGTTATGCTCATTAAGTGGGTGGGTGAGTATGCGGAGAGGGTGGCGGTTGCGAGGATACATGAGGATGAGTGGAAGAAGCATAGTCCGAGTAAGCAGGATATTGTGCTGAGATGAGATGGATCTTTCCTTTGGTCATGATTAGAGCGATGAGATGGGTATGATGGTAGATATGCCGTTCAATAATGCTATTTTGAGCATACGGATAGCCGAATACGACTCGAGTTTATACGTCAGATCTGATTTTCATGAAATTGTTTGCTGACTACAAAAATTATCTCATGATCTCATTTCATGCCGCTACATGAATGTATGAGTCTAGCAGTCAGATACCCTTGGTACTCGAGACTCGGAGAGTCCACGTAGCCTCCACGACTACTCATGAACCTCCCTCGAGAAAAGCTAAAGTCATCGCATACCTCAAGCCTTCTCCAGCTTCTCCTTTTCCAGCTTCTTCTTCTCCCACTTCGCCACCTCCTCATCAATGCACTTGAAGCTCCAGTTTTGGTAGAAAGGCGGGTACAGGAAAGGCCTCAAGTCGAATCGGTTATCATCTGGCGAATATGCCTCCGCATGGTAGGAAGGCGTCATTGTCGTCATCTTGTGGCGGTTGATGGCATAGTAGTGGAAGAACTGTTTCACCTTGACTGCGACCTCGGTGGGAGTATACTTGTCGGACCATTCGTGTGCTAGGCGAACCCAGGTTCCGTATGGACCAAGTTTAAGCTCTTTGCGGCATTTGCCAAAGACTCCAAGTTCTGCGTATGTCATGCCCATATCGACCTCGTCGCTCTGGACATAGTCCTCGGTAATTGGTTCCAGTTCGGCAGTCGGTGTTGCGTCGAGGAACTCGCCGAGGATGGAAAGCTCGAACTCACTCTCAGCGTAAGCTATAAATCTCTTGAGGTCTACCTTCGAGACGCTGCCAATGGGGTTGAGGTCTGCGCTGCTGCAGTCGTACTTGGTGAGGTATCCGCGCAGACACTCGTCGACGTTTCCAGAGGCAAGTACGAGAAGGCTACCTCCATTGGGTCGACCCCTAGTCAAAGGGAGCATCTGAGCAAAGTACTGCAGAGGCAGAGGTACGAAGTCAGTCAATGTCTCACATGCACTTCGTACAGTCAAAACTCACGTAGGCTTGCACGAGCCTTGCTCTCGCTTGTATATTCTGTAATGCCAGATTCTCAGCAGGCGAGCCTCCATGAGCCTTGAATCGCGGCGTGAAGCCAGTCGCCTTCGTCAAACCTGCAGAGGTAGAGGTATGTAGTCAGTATATGTCTCACGTACATCTCGTACAGCCAGGACTTACCGTTCTTCGTAGCCGCATACATGTCGTCGATATCGGCTTCGACATGGTGGCATCCAATGTCTTCCGCTAACCTCTTGGCACGTCTCCTGGTCTCTTTGCTTGATTGCTGAGACATACCCATGTATACGGTATGAAGAATGCCGTTGCATATTTGCTTTGGGCTTGTAGGTACCCAGTCTTCGCCGTGATAAGGGCCTACGATGCGGCGGACATCCTCGAGAACTTGCTTGTTACCGTCCTGTACAGCCTTGTACACGAGGCGGCACATGGAGAATACCAGAGTTGCGGTGGCGCAGCTATCGATCCCTCCGCTGAGGGGCAGCATGAAGCCAGCCTGACCGGATCGACGGAGGTAGTCCCAAAGCCAGCATGCAGGTCCGAGGGCTATCTCTTCTTCTGGTCGATGGTAATGAATGGTTTGGACCGGCGTTGGAAAGATGGAGGGATCGAAGTGTACATCCGAAGCTAGACGAATATCCGCCCTAAAGCGCTCATAGCGAGGGGCTGACGCAGCTTGTAGGCCCCTCGATGGATTCGTCCTGTATGACCAGATCTCTAGGTACCGAGTCAGTATATGTCTCACACGCATTTCGCAGTCAAATTGTTACCTTCCAGGTCGATCGTAGCCGTGATAACTTCGATGTCATTCAAGGAGAATTGAGGTGCCTGCGCGCGGACGGTGCCATTGACCAGCACCTAGATGAATTTACGAAGTAAGCATTGCTCCGAGATACAAATCGTATGGATATCACTAACCATACTAGATCCATCGTAGTAGAGTCTGTCTCCGTCACAGCCTCGTTGATTGCTATACTGTTGTTATGTCAGCAAACACCACCAGAAAGAAGAACAAGGAAAAAGAAAGGAGAACTCACCAAGTACGCTCCACCTGCTTTCGAAGTGGCATTGCGAATCAAGTCGAGACGCAGATCTAGTTTACGAAGCTCATCTGCCATGTGGTATTAGCATGCTTCCCTTGCTTCACATACGGGACACTCACGGTGAGACCCTGATGAATTGATGATGATGTCTACGCCAGCTAAGCTCAAATCGATGTGTGGCGCCCGAGGTGTGAATAGCTCTTCGCAGGTTTCGTAGCCTATTGAGCAATCGACGGCAGACACGATGGCGTCTCCGATCGGAACGAAAGCTGAATCTTGCAGAGAGCGTGCAGCAGCAGGAAGCTCATGCAGTTCATACTGCTCGACGCGTTGGGGTGGAGACCAGGGAATGAAGTATCGACCTTCTCGATAATTCCCGGCCATCGCGAGGCTCATCTTGGGTCTAATCAATAATATCTTGCCGTCAAGCACAACGATTCTCGCGTTGAAAAGGCTCCCGGAGTGCCGAACTGGCATGCCGACGTCGTAGCATATGCCATCGAGTTCGCGATCCACGAGCAAAGATGCCAGCATTTGCCAGCTGTGTGTGACCTGAAAACATGTCAGTTGTCGTCTTATATACAGTTTGTAAAGAGGCCACTCACTGTGTCTTGTTCAAGAAAGTGGTCGAGACACCCTGCAGCGGTAGAGTTACGAAGTCAGTATATGTCTCACATGCACTTCGTACAATCGGAACTCACCGTAGCCAGGAATCGACAATTCCGGCGTGGTGACGTATCGAGCACCATCTGCTTTGGCAAGCTTGACGGCTTCGCGTATGCGGTTTGCGTTGCCCTCCTAGAGGAAGTCAGATCTAGGTCACACGCACTTCGTGAACCAGAAGTTACCCAGTCCTAAATGTGGGTATTAGTAAAATGTATGCCTCAATTGCAGTCGCAGTAATTTACAAGTGCCCAGTTATTCAAACTAGATGTAGAGAATGTGACGAGCCTTCCCATGTTGAGTAACTTGAATGGTCCGGTTGTGGTGGGGTGTAGGTTGGTTGAAGTCGACTTGGTGAAGTGAGAGTAGAGAGCGAGAAGAAAGTAAAACCTCGAGATTAAGACCCAACGCTGAAGTTGATTAATGGTTTTGATTCTTCAGTCTGGTGATTCGAAATTTGAAGGAGATGGATGTATAGTATCAGGGAAAGTTGTGAGTCCTAGTAAGTGGCGGACTGTGCCCAGGTGGGTCCGCCAAGGCGTTAGAAGACTACTTCGAATCAGGCAAGCGCGCCCAGGGCTGGCACCAGCCCACTGATAGCCAATCTGTGGTTGCACTTCATTCAGGTACCAGGAGGATAATCTTTTCTCGTGCAACTGTCTCCCACGGCTCGCAGGTCAGCATCTTGCATGACGCCCGCCATTTGCAAGGCTCGCTGCTCACCCGATTGCCGACGACATACGCGTATCGGCTAGTAGCCATTTGCTTTCCCTGCGTCGGTTGTGCCCAAGCGGGAGTTGTGGTTGGCTGCCACTAGAAGTGCCCGACGCCAATGCCTAGGTAGTGGCTTTTGAAGGTGGGTAAACACATAGCGGTAGACCCTTTCTCCGCACGTCTCTTCAAATACATCAATGTCGGATTCAATCGACCATGCGATTGCACGCACGCAGGCCAGGCGACGGCGTCGCATAGACCATGCGGATCTAGCGAGGGAGCGGGAGAAGACGTTCTATCGGTAGGCTTATCTCGATTCGCATGCGCCACCTGGAGAGTTACACTCACAATGCCCAGCTACTATCCGCGTCCGGGTTCCCATCTTCCGCAGACAGATGGCCCTGCAAGCCGTCACTCGTCGCCGGGACCAGCTCCCAAGTCACAGACGCCCCCGACTACCCCGCCGCCTTCTCTAGACTACGCCCCGCGAGCATCGGACGACAAGGCCCTGACGGCGTTTGCGCAACTGGGAGCGCTGCGCCTGAATGCGCGGAGATGTCTCATATCCTTCTTCGACAGGACCGACTGCTTCCTCCTCGCCGAAGCCACGCGCACTCTGTCGTTGCAGACTGGCGAGCCCGAATTCGAAGACGACCGTTTGTGCTTCGGTACCACCATCTTCCCCAAAGAGCAGAGCCTCTGTAACTACACCGTCAACCTCGCTCCCAAATACAGCACGCTCCCTCTCGACGATCCGAGCGACCTTCCTTCCCTCGTCGTCAACGATCTCAGCAAAGACAAACGCTTCTGCAACTTCCCCTTTGTCCAGGGCCCACCATACTCGCGCTTCTATGCCGGAGTACCAATCCGCAGCCCAAGCGGCCACAGCATCGGTACATACTGCGTTCTGGACGAGAACCCGCGGGACGGCTTGTCGCCGCACCAGCTCGCTTTCCTGAAGAGCATGGCAGGCACAGTGATGCGGCACTTGGAAAGGACCAGGGCAGCGGAAGACCATCGCCGGGCCAAGATTATGGTCAAGAGTCTGGGATCTTTTGCTGAAGGGAAGAGCGGCTTGGAGAACTGGACCGTCGATCCCTGGGATCAGGAGACAGGGCAGTCGTCAGGTCTGCCAGATGCGATCATACCCCAGCGCCAGCGTCCTTCTGCCAATTCCGACGCTGCGCAAGATCCAGTTGTGCTTAATGGAAATATAGATCCGGCTATGAGAATCCCGAAGGACACTCCACCTGCGACCGGTGCGCCGCCGAGCCTAGTCAACGGAGAGACAGTCGATACTATGCGTCCGGAGATGACTACTACGACGTCGTCCACTTCCACGAAAGGCTTCATCAAGACCGATCAAAAGGATAGAGTGGCCCCAGAACTGAGGGCTCACTTCACACGGGCAGCGAACATGATCGTAGACTCAACCGAGGCAGAAGGCGTGGCATTCTTTGACGCGAAAATCAGCACCTTTGGAGGACTTGTTGACGACGACTTCGATCCCGATCAGCTACCTGAGCCGGACAAACCTTGCGATATATTAGGGGCGGCGCTTTGCAGAACCGATCGCGACACGAAGCCGCTACCCAACACCGGAGAATGCATCTCAGAAAGTGTTCTTAGACACCTCCTGCGACTCTATCCACATGGCCAGATTTTCCATCTCGACGACGATCCTGCAACTCCTTCGGTCGCCTCGCCATCGACAGCTGGTGTGGACGAAGTCGAGTCAGCCGATGGCTTTCCGTTCAGTACACCGCGCAAAACAGAATCTACCAGAAGCTTGGACGACGAAGCTTACTTGAGGAGGGTGTTTCCTACCGCTCGGAGTTTGATACTCTATCCACTGTGGGACCCGCATCGCGAACGCTGGTTTGCCACGGCTGTCATCTGGAGTTCGGAACCGAAGAGAATATTCACGACCGAACAGGAGCTCAGCTACCTGGCAGCGTTCAGCAACTTTGTCATGGCTGAGGTCGCTCGTCTAGACACAAAACTAGCTGATGCTGCAAAGGCCGATTTCATCTCGTCGATCAGCCATGAGCTGCGGTCACCACTGGTATGTATACAAAGGTGAAGCAGCTGAAGCGCATGCACTGACCGTAACTAGCACGGCATTCTGGGAATGACAGATCTGTTGAAGGATTCCCCTCTAGATGGCCAGCAGGTATCACATGTGGCAACAATCGAGACATGTGGAAAGACTCTACTGGAAACTATCAATCACGTAAGTTGTTGCAGGTTGCGTCAGATACTGCCACTAACTATATAGGTTCTTGACTTTGCCAAAATCAACAATCTGACCCGAGGAGTTTCGAAGCGCCAGAAGAAACGAACACAGAGCGCGAAGCATATGATCAGTCCGGGCCAAGCTCATACCAATGATATCATGACACTAATCAACGACGTCGACATGAGCATTTTGACAGAAGATGTGGTCGAGAGTGTCTTCGCAGGCTACACCTACGCGAAGACGTCTGCTCAAACATACGAGTTAACCGCCTCTAAAGTAAACAAGCCGCCGATATCTATCATTCTCGATATCAACCAGAGCGACAACTACGTCTTTCGCACGCAGCCTGGCGCATGGCGGCGAGTCATCATGAACCTGTTCGGCAACAGCCTGAAGTATACACCGGGTGGGTACATCAAGGTGAAGCTTGAGGTTAAGCGAAAGCCTGAAGACGAGGACGAGACCTGCGAGTTTCGATTCTCGGTGACCGACTCTGGTATTGGAATGTCAGAGGACTATATCAATAATAGGCTCTTCCACTCCTTTGCGCAGGAGAATCCTTTGAGTCAGGGCACAGGTCTAGGTCTGTCAATCGTCAAACAGATTGTGGAATCTCTGGGAGGCGAGGTAGAAGTGCGTAGTGAGAAAGACCGCGGCACCAAGTTTACAGTCACATGTCCATTGAAAGAGTCACGAATGTCTCCCAACTTCTGTGCAACCGGTCCAGAAGGAGAGAAAGATCTGCAGCTACAACAGGTCACTAAGCGCACCAAGGGTCTGAAAGTGAGGTTTGACGGTTTCAATGAGGAAGAGGAGTACCATGTTAGAGACTTGAAGAACAAGACAGCCTCGAAGCTATCATTGAAGGCGCTCGACAGCCTTTGTGCTGAGTGGTTCGGTATCGAACGATGCGAGGAGGGCGACAATGCGGCCGAACCAGACCTGATCATCGCCACCGAAACCTGCGCCAAAGCGTTACGGACTACATACAGCCAGTCTCCCGGTCGAGTGTCTCCCACCCCCGTGATAGTTGTGTGCCAGGGCGCCGCAGCAGCACAATCTACAACAGCCATCACAGTGCCGGGGATCATCTTCGAATGTATCGGCCAGCCCGTCGGGCCCCACAAGATGTCGAAGGCCCTAGCCTCGTGTCTCGATCGACACGCAAGACGCGCCGAGACACAGAAAATGGACATGAAGTCGATGATCCCACGGATAACAGAGCTCAGTCTAAAGGAGGAAGCAACTCCCCGTCGCACCGACCACCTGCATGTCGTAGAGCCATCTCGACCGCAGCTCACCAGCATTAGTAGTGCCCCCGAGATACGCTCAATCAACAACAGCCCACCCCGAACATCCAAATACCTAAAACCTTCGCGCGCACTGCGCTGTCTCTGCGTAGACGACAACCCCATCAACCTCCGCCTCCTGCGTACCTTCGTCGACAAGCTCGGCCACCAACACGTGCTCGCCGCCGACGGCCTCGAAGCACTAGAAGCCTACAAAGCCGCCAGCGACGAAGACTCGCGCATCGACGTCGTCCTCATGGACATCAACATGCCCATCATGGACGGCCTCGAAGCCACCCGCCAAATCCGCGCCCACGAGATCCGTTCCAACCTCCCCAAAGTCACCATCATCGCCCTCACCGGCGTCGCCGACACCGACATCCAACAAGAAGCCAACTCCAGCGGCATCAACCTCTTCCTCATCAAGCCCGTCCGTCTCGCTGATCTCGAAGTCATCCTCAAAGGCGTGGTTACCGGCCAAGACAAAGCGAACCTAGAGCTTGAAGCAGAGAAAGAGCGGATTAAACAGGCGGAAGCAGATGCTATCCTCAAAGTGGAAAGCGTGGATGAGAAAACACGCAGTATCAACGTGGGTGTGGCTGTCGTCAAGGGCGAGGACGATATACAGAAGGCGGTTAAAGTGTTCGAGCACAAGAAGAGTGCGTCGGTGATATGAAAGCGCATAACCAGTATGCATGAGGCTTCTCTGACGCATGTGCTAAAACCATTGGGCTAGGGCGCTCATACGCATCATCGGATGACCCTTACTCCCCACGCAAAACTTCCGCGCGCATTTCCTCGTTGATCACGAAGTTGGGCATGGACAGGAGGAGTGAATGAACAGAGAGAAAGGAAAAAGCATTTACTTACGCATTTTGGCGTATACTGCATTTGCTCATCTCCATTTTCCGGCGCGCAAAGGAAAAGAGAAAAGAGAAAAGTTGTGTCAAGAGCGAGCTTGACGAAGGACAAAATGCATGCATGGGGTTGGCAGGCATGTTTAGGCGATTATACCCTTTTCTATCTTGCGATTTTTCCGTTTCTGCGAGTTCTTGTCCGTTTTTGTTTTCCAGCTATGGTGTTTAGAGAACTGGAGGATGCGTTTGTGGCGATGGTTGGCGTCTTTGTTCGGATTGATCATTTGGCTGGTATGGTAGCATAGCGTGGCGTTTTCGCTTCCATGGGTTGATTAGATATTGATGGGTCGGTTGATGTGGATGGATGTATCATGATTAGGGTATTGCGGTATGAAATATAAACATCAAAGTTAAAAACACACTGTGTGCTTGTTGGTGTGAAGTGTGCTGTCAGAGTCTCTACTGACATGCAGTTAGAGATACATCAAGTGCTGGCGTAGATGGAATCTGATCTGGAATCTAACAAGTTACGAAATAATGATTCAAAGAGAGTGTGAGTAACTTGTATATAGCTAATGTGGTTATCGAACCCTTATCGTGATAATAATAACAACGACAACACCAGATCCAGTCCTATCCTATCCAAATCCAAGCAAAGATCAATCTCCGATCCAAAAGCGACTTCAGAAACTCGTAGGAACTCGAGCTGATTAGTTAGTCTAAGCACCGAGCAAGTCATTGAGCATCGAGTTGTCCTCTTCCCTCAACATAACCATGAACTTACCGACAGCCGGGCCCATGATAACAAAGACCTCAGCAGCCAGAACGTGGGCAAGAACAATGAACATGCCAACGATGATGAAGAAGTTCTTGAAGAACAACTTGATGAGACGGCGACGAGCCTCCCAGTTGAAAGACCTCCATGCATCCAAGAAGCCAACGACACCGGTTCCACCCATCATCTTGCTGACGACCTTGCCACCGAAGGTGCGGTCGAAGGGGACGATGGTGTCCTGGTCCTCAGGGAGAATGGAGGCTTCGATGCGGATCAGGGTGACCATGGCGGGGAGGCAGAGGAAAAGGGTGCAGACGATGACAAAGACGAAGAGGGTGAAAATGCGGACTGCAAGACCAGTCCACGCAGCGCAGGAGCTGATCTTCTCTTGCTCGAGCTTGTGAAGACCCATGAGCATGGCTACGCCGAAAGAGAGGTACAGGCTGATGTATGGCATAACGGAAGCGATGGTGGCGGGGACAGCGAGAGTCTTCCAGTGGCTCTTGGAGGGCATGCGCTGCCAGAGGCTCTGCTCTGTCGGCATGCCGACTACCTTGTGTGTCCAGACTGCGTGTACGTTGGCGAGAACGGCACCGGTGATACCAGCGACGATGATGGGCTGGCCGGGAACCATGGGGAGAGCGCCGTTGAAAAAGGTGGATACGATGCCAGCGAGGAACGAGTATAGAACGTGGACGCGGAAACCGCGGAAGCGTGCGAAGCGACCGGCGTTGGCGACGAGGTGACGGAGCGTAGCGCGGATGGACGAGGTGATGGGCTTCTGGTTCACAAGGGTGATGGTAGGGCCGGTCTCGAGGAGCGTCTCCTTCTCGTCTTCCTTGTCGGAGGGCTCGTAGGTCGTTGGCGAGACGGTGATGGCGGCCATGGGGGACTCGACCATGCAGAGGGTGGTGACGACTTCATTGAGCATGTAGGAGATCTGTTGGTATCTTGTTAGTATGTGTTCCGGAGATGCCAACGAGACATGGAGTACTTACAAGGCTGATAGCCACACTCGCAACGAAGATGCTAATGTAGATGACAACGACGCCCCAAATGGGGACATCCTCTGGCTTCAGTTGTGTAGACTCTCCGTTGCGCACAGGAGCTCCATTGTGCAAGGCGCGCTTGACAAACGTCGCCGTGTGAGGGTGCGACACAGCGCGACGGGCAAGTTCGACGAGGACCGTCATCTTGTCTGAGATGCGTAATCCGTAAACTCTCAAGTCGCTGTAGAAAGTCGTATATCCTGCAAAGTCGCAGTAGTGTGAAAGTTGAGAAAGTGAGAACAGAGGAAACAAGAAAGGCTGACGGAAGTAAAAGGGTTGACAGGTGTATTGAAGTTGGCGCTGTCACAGCGCGGTACGGCGTGAGAGACAAGGAGGCGAAGTTCAGGCCAAGGCTATGCTGGCCCCCATTGACGCAACACGACGGCTGCCTGTTGTGCACGGACCACGTGCCGGCTAGCCGCCGATCTATAATTGGTCTCGTCCCAAGTCGATGCGGAGAATCGAATGTGCTGGAGCGGATTCACTGCATCTATGTTCCGACGTATGCGGTGCTCCACGAGAATGTGTTGGCCGTTTCTTTCATCACGGAGGACACATGTGCTCTACTGACTGAGTTTCAATCCTGCATGTTGGCTACTGTATATGAGACATGTTCAGCGCCGCACCTGAGGCACAGTGATGGGCGAGCACGTAATCCAATACCTTCAGGCAACCTGTTGACAATTGGGGCCGATCTTGGGCGCCTCGTTCCACCCACTAATATCAATGTTTCACAATACGCGTTCAGGTGAACAGTTGTAAGAAGACAATATTTCATTATACCTCCCATCACACAGATGACGAGAAAGACAACTCCCATACCGTGATTATGTACCGGAACCCCACCCATGACAGACAGACAGGACTATTTCCAAACGCTGAGTGTAGAGAATACATGAATGCGCTAGACTAGAGATCAAGTAAAGGCTTTTAAAGAAAAGGGATACACAACGCTGACTCCGATTGCAATTTCAGGCTTGAAGACTACACACAGAAACCGAGCGTAAGTCGTTATACGTAAGCACCGTGAGAAGGGTACGTGTCAGAGATGGATTGTGGCGTATTTGAGTGTAGGAGCATGGAGGAGCCTAGCTACTCCAGATGAACTGGTTGGCGGAACAGCTTATAGAGCAGGCTGCGCGACGGGCTTCTCATCCTCGAGCTCCTCGTCGGAGGACTCCTCAGTAGCGGGTGCGTGGGTTGGGGCAGAAGGGAAAGCCTCCTTCTTGACCTCTGGGGAAGTGGAACGCCCGCGGTACTGGTTGACGGTCTCCTGGGCCTTGGCCGTGGCCTGCTGGGTGTATCCTTGGACAGTCTTCATGGCATTTCCAGCGTGCTGGTTAGCAAGACCCTTGACCTGCTGGGCCTGTTGGTTGGCGACGTTGTAACCCTTCTCCAACTGAGCATCAATGACCTCCCTGTTCTGGATGTAGATGAGGGGACCGAGGAAGGTAATAAATGTCGAGATCAAAGCCAAGCCCCAGAGGGGGACGAACTTGATGAGGAAGTAGGAGATGAAGGAAGCGAAGAACATCTAAGGGAGCGAGAGATCAGCCATCTTGTGCGGTGTGTGAAGAAGGATTATACGTACAGCAACAGTGACGTAGACGTTCTCGGCGAACATGATACGTTGAGACTCAATAACGAAGAAGTTAATGAGCTGCTCGAAGTCGTCGGTCATGCGCTCAAGCGAAGCCTTGGGAATGGTGTAGTACTGGCGGGGCCTGAACTGCGAAGTAAGACCACGTCCGAGAGCCATCTTTCCGACAACCTCAGCGGCTGCCGTAAGTCCGAGCACCATGTAGGACATCTTGAACATGTAGCGGATCAGGTTCAGGTATCGGGCGGCGAAGATGAAGAGGACGGTCGCACCGAACGCTATTCCGGTAGCGCGGGGGTTCTTCCAGCTCAACAGGCGGTAGAACATGCTGTGGTAGTCTGGTGCATGTTAGCTACGTGGTCGACTAGGGGGTTGAGTATAGCTTACGAGTGAGATTCTGGCCAGTCGCTGCCTTGTGCTCGGGAATCGTCTTGGAGTTGGCGAGATCAGCAAACTCGTTGCGCGTCTTTGCGCCCTCAGCCTTGACATTCTGTGCAACGGGACCTGTAGAGTTTAGCATTGGTCGTGTGCGCATTAGGCTGACGTGTGTGCTGCAAAACCACCGTTAGCTATGGTCCAAAGCGTGTATAGACGATCGTGTGCACATACCCTACCGTTCATAACTGTCTGCTTGGCGTTCTGGACGCTGGGGTGGTTGTTTGCGGCGTTCATGGCGTTTGAAGCTGCTTTGTGGGTGTGAGTTCAGGAAATCAGGTGTTGTGCGGGCGGCCGATAAGACTGCCATGTATCGCGTTAGCTTGCGTCTCGGTAAGGGTCAAAGGCGTTTTGTCCCACTCACCTTACTCTCTAGAATTCCATTCTTTGCCTTGATTGCGCTGTTTTGCAGGTCCTTGTTGGCGTTGCCGTTGGTCTGCGGGGCAGAAGAGCCGTCCATTTCCGATAGGAAGTCTGGAGTGCCGTTGGGGGTTTGCTGGAGGTCGAAATCGGTATCCGTGTTGGGGAGCTCAACGCGGGGAGCACCTGACATTGCTCGGAGATACAGTGGAGAAGAGGGGAATCACAAGTGGATTGAGAGGCAGAAGTGTGCGAGTGTAATAAGGAGCTGGGGTGTGTGAGAGTGTGGGAGGTAGAGGTGCTGCGGTGGATTTGTTCAGGCGCTGTCGTGTGCGCATTGTTGGGTATTCACCAAAAGCGGACGTCATGGCCCCACCCTGATCTAGCCATGATTTGTTTTCCACTGCCACTCACGACGCGCCTCTGCACATAAGGTAACAGGTTTCACGGCAAACGATGTCATGGGGATACATATGCATCATTCCAGCAATGCCTGAAACCGCATTGCTGCGTGTCGACTTGCTGTCTCCGCGGACGATTCTTCATGGGGCAGGCCCAAGCTCGACCGGTTTCACATGTGAAAGATGGCCAGGTGGTCTT